TCGCAAACGTTCAATTTCGGAAGCGGGCAAGAAAAAGAATTTACTACAATGTTCAATCTAAAATTTATACAAAAATTAAGGTTCATATCAAAAACTCTCTAAAAATTAATTTCAAACTTACATGAGTTATTTGGCCTCTTAATTTCTTCTGAAAGATGGAAGGTAAAACTATCAAATCGGCATGTTTAAGTGAGTCTTTCACCAGCTGCCATTCACCATCTTTAACACTTACGACGCCCAATTCTTCAGCATATTTAATGCCCATATTTACACTAAATTGAGAAATTAATAAAATTATTTTCCTTAAAAAAGTTCAACGACATCTTCAAAACTTACTCCATAACATTTATTATAGTTTTCATTTTCGACAAACGCATTCTTACTGCCTTATAAACCTCAGCCCGAACTTTGCCCGGTACCGTTAAACGATAAGTACTATCATCATATTCATCTTCGAGATTTTTCTTAAATGTTACAAACACCTTTTCCGAGCCCGATTGAAAGCGTACCTCAATATCTTTTGCTGGTATGCGAACATCTTTGAAAATATCCTTAATAGAGCGTGTGTATAATTCTCCTACATGTTTATTATTGAAATTAGTAAAGAAAACTGTACGACAAGGATCATTGCCATTGAGAACATGATACATTTTGCGATCTCGTTCAGTGTCATTAAGGGATGTACGTGTAAAATAATTGGGATAGAAAGCTCCGGCAATAATAATTTTTAAAATAATAGTTTTTTCTCGATCCATCCAGTGAACACGTTGATAGGTTGTCTGTTCTTTGAAATTCAAATTGGCTAGACGTTCTTTTAGTTCTTGTACGAGCAAATGCATTTCTTTAATGGTACGTAAATTGATGTAGAAACGTTTTGCCCAGGCATGTTCGCCCTCTTCTTCGCGTAGGCTATTTTGTTCACGCATTGATTTCCAAACCTAGATATGGAAATATGTATATGTAAGTAAGGAAAAGAAATGTTTTATATAACAGCACTTTCTTTAAAAAGTTATATTCAGAAAAAGCTTTTAAGTTTTATTTTTTGTTTAAAAAACTTCTTTAAAAATTACTTTTTAAAACATCTTTAGTTTTTTTCTCAAAAAACTTTTTATAGCAGATTTCTTAAAAATGCTTTTGAAAGCTTTTTTCTTAAATGCTTTGTAAAGCTTTTTCTTAAAAGGTTTGTAAAGTTTTTAATGTTTTTTAAGCTTTTTTCTTTTAAAGCTTTTGCTTTTAAAGCTTTGCTTTAAAAGCTTATGTCATAAAATACTTCTTAAAGCTTTTTTCTTAAAATGATTTATAAAGCTTTTTTCCTAAAATGTTTTTTTTTTTCAAAAATGTTTTTGAAAGCTTTTTCTTTAAATGTTTTTGAAAGCCTTTTATTTGAAAGCTTTTTGTAAAAAGATTTTGAATTTTTTTTTTTTTCTTTTTAATGTTTTTAAAGCTTTTTTCTAAATTTTTAATATGCTTTTTATAGTTTTTTCTTAATTCTTAAAATGCTTTTTAAAGCTTTTTTCTTAATTGAAGCTTTTTTTAAACAATTTTTTTGGTTTTTTTGACAAAAGGTTTTTTAATATTTTTCATAAAAAAGCTTTATTTTAAGCTTCATTCACAAAAAAAACTTTAAGCTTTAAAAAAACATTTTTGCATAAAATATTTTAATTTTTTCACGCTTTTTCATTTAATATTTTTTGGTAAAAAGCTTTTTTTTACAAAAAAACCTTGCAGCTTAACACAAAAACTTTTTACAAAAATATGAATGAAAAAGCTTTTATTACACAAAAGTTTTTTTCTTAATTTTTTGTTACAGAAAGTTATAAGCATAGAATATCCATGTAATAAGTATTCTTAAAAAGCTTTTATTATACAAATGATTTTTCATTCTAAAATTAAAAGCTATTTTGTTAAGAAAGCTTTCGTAAAAAATTTAAAAAGTTTTTAATTTCTTTATTTTTTGGAGAGAACCGTTTTCATATAATTTTCTTGTGAAAAAGCTTTATTCCGAAAAAGTTATTTTCTCACAAAAAGTTTATACTGAAAGCTTTTTCATAAAAAATATTTTTGTAAGTTATTTATACATTATATTACCTTATAAGACTTTAAAATGGCAAATAAGTCTGAACCTGAACCATCAGCCCAAAGTAACTTTTGTAAATAAGCATCACAATCACTTTGAGGCGTAGAACCATGATAACGAAAAATAGAGCGCACGCTTAAACCAGCAGCTAAAAATATAACAAACAAAAAACCCACAAATTATAAATAAAATATCCAAAATTTTAAGAAAGAAAATACACTACCTATAATAATAGCATCTTCCAGAACGCTAAATATATAACCCAAGACAATTAAACGACTCAGTCGTATATTTAAAGGTAAAGAAGCCATAATGCGACCCATATAACTAATATCACCATCCTGTACAGAATAAACACCATTAACTGTGGTATACAAAGCTCCCACTTCTTTTAAAGTTAAAATAGTATTGTGAATATCACTTAAATTGGGAGGACTCATAGCCAAGCCGAGAATATCCGGTGGAGGACCCATGTCAAGAAGTTTGGCTTTTAAGACAACATTTTCCAAAGGGCAGCGTAACATTTCGGGAATGCTGAATTCATCCATATAATTCTAAAAATGAAAATTTGGGTTAAAAATTATAAGAACATATAAAAAGGTAGTAAAAAATCCACCTCATAGTAATATCTGGGAACTAAACGATAAACACGACCATTCATTACACGACCAGCACGACCGGCACGTTGTTTACAATTGGCTTTGGAGGCCCATTGCAATTGCAAAGATGTAAAATTGGAGGCAGTATCAGTAACCAAAGCTTTGGTTAGACAAAAATCAATAACTGGAAATATATAATATTAAACAGAATTATTAATAAAGAAAAATAGTTAATCTTACCATATTTAACATCGGGTACAGTTATAGAACTTTCTGCTATATTAGTGGCTAATATAACTTTACGATAACCCAAAGGAGCCTGATGGAAAACCTTGATTTGTTCATCGGGCGATATTAAGGAATGTAAACGTATGGGACTTAATTTTGGGGTGTTTCTGTAAAAATATAACAAAATAGAACATGGTGTATAATAATATTATTAAACATTATAACTTACTCTTCTGAATTATTAAGCAATTCCAATCTTTTGCACATTTGTTCGATTTCATTGATGCCGGGTAAAAATATTAAAATGGAAGTGCTATTCGCCGCATTCGTTTGAGAATTTAAACTTAAAGCCACCTCTTGTTTTTCAATGTTATCAATGACAATTATCAGTTTTAAAACTAATCTATACATTTCAGGTGATATACCCGGTTCAGTAACATCTATTTCCACATTCTAAAACATAATATTTAAATTAAAATTTCCCGTTTTTAACATACATTTAATTATAAAACTTACGGTATTATTAATACGTCCCAAATCATCTAAATAGAAATCTTTTACTTGAAATAAACGTCTAGAGTCGGCTTTTAAAATGGGTGCTGGTTCACGTTTGATTTTAAAATAATTGGAAAACTTTTAAAAGAAAAAATGTTTATATAAAAAAAATTGTCGCAATTACACAACAACTTACCTCCACTGAATTAATAGTGGCCGACATTAATATAATCTTACAACGTTTAGAGTTGGTGCTCAAGAAACGTCTTATAACTATCAACAAAAAGTCCATTTCTTGATCTCTTTCATGCACCTCATCCAGTATAATGTGTGTATAATTGCCCAAAGATTTTTCATGTATTAATTTTTGTAATAGCACGCCGGTCGTGCAGTAAACAATTCGAGTATCTTCGCTTATATTGGCATGTAGACCAACCTGAAATTTAGTTATTACAATAATTAATTTTTTATTCATTTTTTGTATTGTTGGGTGTTTTACCTGATAACCAACTATAGATCCCTCTGGCCATTTACGTTCTTGGCAAACACGACGTGCTATGGATATGGCAGCAATACGTCTTGGTTGTGTGCAAATTATTTTACAATACTCTCGTCGAGTATAGGCATCATCAATGATATATTGGGGAACCTGGTGACAAAAAGTTACAAATATGTTCTCACAACAGTTTCTTGAATTTTTAAAACTTATGGGCTTTACTCTGTAACTAAATATAAATTAATAGAATCGAACTAAAACAGAACTATACTTAATCTAAATAAAACTAAACTAGAATTGAACTAAAAGGTAACTGAACTAAGCTAGAACTAAACTAGAACTGTATTAGAACAGAACTAGAACTGTATTAGAACTGAACTAGAACTGAACTAGAACTGAACTAGAACTGAACTAGAACTGAACTAGAACTGAACTAGAACTGAACTAGAACTGAACTAGAACTGAACTAGAACTGAACTAGAACTGAACTAGAACCGAACTAGAACTGAACTAGAACTGAACTAGAACTGAACTAGAACTGAACTAGAACTGAACTAGAACTGAACTAGAACTGAACTAGAACTGAACTAGAACTGAACTAGAACTGAACTAGAACTGAACTAGAACTGAACTAGAACTGAACTAGAACTGAACTAGAACTGAACTAGAACTGAACTAGAACTGAACTAGAACTGAACTAGAACTGAACTAGAACTGAACTAAACTGAACTAGAACTGAACTAGACACAGAACAAGAAACGATCAGAAACTGAATAGAAACTGAACTAGAACTGAACTAGAACTGAAATAGAATGAACTAGAACTGAACTAGAACTGAACTAGAAGAACTAGAACTGAACTGAAGAACTAGAACTGAACTAGAAACTGAACTAGACGAACTAGAAAACTTGAACTAGAAAAAACTGACTCGAAACTGAACTAGACTGAAACTCGAAATGAACTAGAACTGAATGAACTGAACTAGAACTGAACTAGAAACTGAACTAGAACGGACTAGAAACTGAACTAGAAACTGAACTAGAACTGAACTAGAACTGAACTAGAACTGAACTCGAACGGAACTAGAATGAACTAGAAACTGAACTAGAACTGACTAGAAATGAACTAGAAACTGAACTAGAACTGAACTAGACACTGAACTAACTGAACTAGAACTGAACTAGAACTGAACTAGAACTGAACTAGAACTGAACTAGAACTGAACTAGAACTGAACTAGAACTGAACTAGATACTGAACTAGAACTGAACTAGAACTGAACTAGAACTGACTAGAACTGAACTAGAACTTAACTAGAACTAACTAGACTGAACCTAGAACTGAACTAGAACTGAACTAGAACTAAACTAAATAACTAGAACTAAACTGAACTAAACTAACTGAACTAGAACTGAACTAAAACTGAACTAGAACTGAACTAACGAACTAGAACTAACTGAACTAGAACTGAACTAGAACTGAACTAGAACTGATCTAGAAACTGAACTAGAACTGAACTAGAACTGAACTAGAACTGAACTAGAACTGAACTAGAACTGAACTAGAACTGAACTAGAACTGAACTAGAACTGAACTAGAACTGAACTAGAACTGAACTAGAACTGAACTAGAACTGAACTAGAACTGAACTAGAACTGAACTAGAACTGAACTAGAACTGAACTAGAACTGAACTAGAACTAACTAGAACTGAACTAGAACTGAACTAGAACTGAACTAGAACTGAACTAGAACTGAACTGGAACTGAACTAGAACTGAACTAGAACTGAACTAGAACTGAACTAGAAGTGAACTAGAACTGAACTAGAACTGAACTAGAACTGAACTAGAACTGAATTAGAACTGAACTAGAACTGAACTAGAACTGAACTAGAACTGAACTAGAACTGAACTAGAACTAGAACTGAACTAGAACTGAACTAGAACTGAACTAGAACTGAACTAGAACTGAACTAGAACTGAACTAGAACTGAACTAGAACTGAACTAGAACTGAACTAGAACTGAACTAGAACTGAACTAGAACTGAACTAGAACTGAACTAGAACTGAACTAGAACTGAACTAGAACTGAACTAGAACTAGAACTGAACTTGAACTGAACTAGAACTGAACTAGAACTGAATTAGAACTGAACTAGAACTGAACTAAAATGAACAAAAACTTAACAGCGAATATAAACTATAACGGAACTATAAAAAGCATTTTAAAAGAAAACTAACTTTTTGAAATTAGAAAAACAACAAGAAAAACTTACCTGCGTTGTTTTACCACAACCAGTATCACCTTCTATGACCACCACTGGATTAGCCCGTATGGTATTAACAATTTCCTCTCTCTTATCGTGTATAGGTAAATTTTCATCACGTCTCAAATCAAAGGGATAACGATCATAAATGGCATCATCCACACGATTTGGACGACTAGGACCATTATCATTATCCCGCTCATCATCAGAATCTGATAAACTTTCTAAATCATCCATACAAGAGGAAGCCACCACACTGCAGGAGGCACCATAACGGGATTGATCATTATCGCCATTCAAATCCAACTTTTAAATAAAAAAATTAAACTCTATAAAAAAAATCGTCTTTGTTCTACAAACCTGTTCTAATTTTAAACGTTCTGTTCGGCTACATCCTTTGAGTATTCCGTGCCCGCATATTCACGTTTCATAAGGTGTTTTGAATCCTCCGCGGGAATAACAGTAGTTGCAACCGTGCCTGAGACACAACCGCGAGGTACGGTTTTGCGCTCAAAGTTTTTGGAAAAATCAAAGAAATCATTTATGTCATCCATATTTGATAACTTTGAGATTTAATCTTGTGTTAAATAAATTAATTAATAATTATTTTTCAAATCTGTCGCCAATTGGAAGCTGCGTCTTTCGCCAAATATTTTTGCAACAAATGCCGCTAGAAAATAAATTAAAATCAAGATGGATTTAAACAAAATGTTCTACAAGTTATATACTTAGCAATTTTGTATATATAGTTTGACATTAACGGTTATAAAAGTTACTTTTTATACATCAAGTTTGACAGTCCTTGTGTATAAAAAAATAATCAACAGTTTAAATAACTTTACCTTGTTGAAATTCTCCTTTAATGAAATGTTATCAATGGCGAAAACAGCAACAATAACAAAAAAAACAATGTAAATGTAAAACTGAGCTGCCAAGTTTTAATAATAAGAAAATAAAATAAGTGCTTTTTTAAATTTATTTTTATCAAACAATTTAGAAAATTTTAATTTTAGTTAATTATTGCTAATTGTTTAGTAAAATCTTTAAGATTTACACAAAAAAAATGAAATTTATTTATGTATATTATTTAACATTATTCTACTACGAAGGTTGGCAACTCTATTTTACAGTTATCTATATATTTAAACGATTTCCAACACTACTTTTAGTTCTTGGTTCTTCTTTATGCCATAAATTTTGTTTACGGAAACACAAAGAAAAAAAAAACAGTGATAATAAATAAACATAAATAAATTTAAATTAAATTTAGTTTTATATATTTTTCTGAATAAATAAATTAGCCAATAATAAAAACAATGACTAGTGGTCGTTTTCATTTAAATGGCGAAGCTAGTGATCCTGAACAAAATACAGCCTCAACATCAGCCGCCGCAGCAGCGGCAGCAGCAACAAATACAACAGGTGGTGTAGCCAGCGCAGCTGCTAGCGGAACAACAGAAATAAGAGAAAACGAAAAAATCAGAACATTTGTCTTCACCAGTAGAGGCAACGCTTCAAACTTACCCAGAAACGATAGAACACATTCAGTGGCAGCAACAGAACCTCTAGAAGAGTTAGAAATAAAAATACCCGAGGTAAGTCTTCAAAAAATTAAATTCTTATTAAAATATTTGTTTAACAGTCCAAAAATGTTTATGTAATATTCCTCGTTTGTTTTTATTTCAGCTTTTACAAAGTGGTTATTCCTTTTACACGTGGCCCTGTGCTCCTATTTTAGCCTGGTTTTTGTGGGAACGTCGTCACTCGTTGGTAGGCAAACGTATTTTAGAACTAGGAGCTGGTACTGCTTTACCAGGCATATTAGCAGCAAGGTGTGGTGCCCAAGTGGTTTTAACCGATAACTGCATATTACCCAAATCTTTGAATCATATACGCCGTTCCTGTGCAGTTAATAATTTAACGCCCGGACAAGATATCGAAGTGAAAGGTTTAAGTTGGGGTCTTTTACTAAACAGTGTATTTTCTTTGGGTCCCCTGGATTTGATTATTGCTGCCGATTGTTTCTACGATCCCAGTGTATTTGAAGATATTATTGTGACAGTATCATTTCTTTTAGATCGTAATCCTACGGCAAAATTTATTTTCACCTACCAAGAACGCAGTGCGGATTGGTCCATAGAAGCCTTACTCAAGAAGTGGAAACTTTGTGCTTTACAAATCAATAGCGACGATATTGGTAAAGCCTCAGGTGTGGATTTATTAGAAATTTTAGCAGGCCACACTATACATTTAATAGAAATAACTAAAGAAACCTAAAACGCTAGAAGAAACAATGTCGAATTTTGTACGTCAATCTTATAAGTTATTTGTGGGCAATTTACCCTGGACCATTGGTCAAAAGGAATTGCAAACTTATTTCTCCAAGTTCGGGCATGTCTCCTCTTCATCCATAATCTATGATAAACAGCAGGGCTTTTCGAAGGGTTTCGGTTTTGTAACATTTAGCAGTAGTGATGCCTATAATAGTGCCTGCAATCAAAATGTTCACTTTTTAGAGGGACGTGTACTTAATGTTAAGGAAGCTAATAATCAATAAGTTTATAATTTATGTATGTAAATGAAATGAAATAAATTGAATTATTTAAATTAAAAGTTGTATTTGTATCACTTTAATAATGCCAAAGGGAAAAAGCAATTATTTTATTTTTTTCTTTTTATTTCACTTTACTCCCACAACTTTTGAAAGATGTGTTTAAAAAACATTTGATATAAAAATAAATTGCAAGGGGAAACATTCTATAATTAGTTACTACGATATTTTATCAAATTTCCTACAATTGCAACATAGTTGCTAAAAACAAAAAAATCAATAACTTTAGCAATGTTTCGAAATCAAATCACATTCCTACCTAAGCCGAAGCAAAAATTGTTTATATTTACAAAAAAAAGAAAACTGTGCAGTTTTTACTTATTTAAATAAGTTTTATAATTGCTACCCACTGCCTCAGTGATGGATTTATAATTTTTAGCTTTTAATATTTCAGCCAGTTCACTTTTGACTCGCTTAACTATGGGCGGACCATGATAGATGAATGAGGTGTACAACTGTAGATAAGAAGCACCAGCTTCAATTTTTTCATAAGCATCCTGGCCGGAAGAAATACCACCTACACCCATTATGGGAATTTTGCCACCAGTTTGGTAATACATTTCTGCTATTAAGGCTGTAGACTTGGAGCGTAGGGGAACACCACTCAGACCGCCCGTTTCTAAAGCAGTTAAAGAAACCTCCTTAAGATTATCGCGGGCTATGGTAGTATTTGATACTATTAAGCCATCGACACGGCAGCTTTTCTTATTCACCACTGCGGCTATATCTTTAATATCCTGTTGTGTTAGATCGGGAGCCAGTTTAAGCAATACGGGTACTTTATTGTTGGCATGCAATTCATTACGGGTTTTTATGACTGTTTCCAAAAGAGCCTCTAAATCTTTTTTACCCTGTAGATCTCTTAGTCCGGGAGTGTTGGGACTGCTTATATTTATAACCAAGTAATCAGCTATGGGGCCAAATATTAAAACACCTTTTCTATAATCCTCCTTGGCCGAGGGTGAGGTTTTATTTTTACCCAAGTTTATGCCTAAAACACCTTGAAAATTTCCCGAATCTTTCAAAGCTTTTAGGCGTTTAAATACCTCAGCATGGCCCTCGCTATTGAAGCCATAACGATTTATAATGGCCTCATCTTCCACTAAACGGAAAACACGAGGCAAAGGATTACCGGGTTGAGGTTCTGGTGTAACTGAACCGATTTCTACAAAACCAAAGCCAATTTGTGACAAACCTTCAACAGCTTCTCCTTGTTTATCAAAACCGGCCGCTATACCCAAAGGGTTGGTTAAAGGTAGACCAAAAAAGTCGGTTTGCTATATAATTTAAATTGGATAATGGTAGGAAATTGAAGTTCACTATAATATCGCTTAAATAACTTACCAATATAGCATCATCTGGTTTATTGGATTTGCCAAACAATTTATATTTGCAAGCCCACACCGCCAATTTGTGGCTAGTTTCTGGTGGCAGTAGACGCGTGGCCGGCATTAAGATTTTCTCATAATACTGCTCTTGGCCTTGGTGAATGCACAAACCGGAAAACACCAAACCACCTCCAGTACAAACCAAAGCCAATGTTTTAAGCTTATTCTGAATAAGAATTATTAATATTTTGGTTTTAGGAAAAACATTAAATTATTAAAACTTACTGCCGTCTTAGGAGCACGAGCCGCCATAATTTTATAAAAATATTAAATAAAAAATTTGCAAATTTGCTAAATATTAACAAAACAATGTTAATAACCAGGTGGTTTTAACATTATATTAATGAACTGTAAACTTTAACAGTAATTTATTAAACTAACATTTTTTAATTCTGTTATCATCTATTAATTCGCCTTACAACAGCTGTAGACTTAACAGATAATAACAAACGTTTTTTTTTTTTTAGTTAGACATGCTATTACGGCAACCAAAAATTAGTTTTAGTTTTTAATATATTAATAATTAATTAATTTAATTAACGATTAATTACACTTAAAAGTGTAACAAGTGTTTAACTATTATATAGTTGTAAAAAGTGTAATCAATTTAAATTGCTTTATTCTGTCTTGTAAAATGGAAACTGAATTGATACAAGGCAATGTTAACCCACTGGCAGCGCCCGTGACCCCAGCGTCACAGACACATAGTTTTATTAATGCATTGGTGGTAAGTTTTTGTAGATTTAAAAAGTTGTTATATAGATATAAGTTTATGATCTTGACGATCTTGTAATAAATGAGCGATATATTATGATAAAATTTAAAATATATGTATAAACATTTTAGGCTGGTGGAGTTGCTGGTATGGTGGTCGATATAGCATTATTTCCCATAGACACGGTTAAAACACGTTTACAAAGTGAAAGAGGCTTTTGGCGTTCAGGCGGTTTCAAAGGAGTCTACAAGGGTTTAGCACCTGCAGCAGCCGGTAGTGCCCCCACTGCCGCCTTATTTTTCTGTGCCTATGAAAATTTTAAAACTTTATTCAGCAATGTAGCAGGCTGCACCAAAAATTCACCCTATATACACATGATTTCGGCATCAAGTGCAGAAGTGGTAAGTGGAAATTTGAAAAAATATAATAAAGTGTTATTAACAAAAATACATCCTTCAATAGCTTGCCTGTTTAATACGGGTGCCTGTAGAAATCGCCAAACAACGTAGACAAACTCTGGGAAATAAATCGCAGCAGGGAGCTTTACAGATACTATGGACTGCTTATAAAACAGAGGGTCTAAGAAAGGGTGTTTATCGTGGTTTTGGTTCTACCATAATGCGTGAAATACCATTTAGTTTTATACAATTTCCTCTATGGGAATTCTTTAAATTACAATGGACCCCTATGACGGGACTGGATTCTACACCGTTTTCAGTGGCATTATGTGGTGCTGTAGCTGGTGGTATTTCAGCTGGTTTAACTACACCTTTAGATGTGGTTAAGACAAGAATTATGTTGGCCGAACAGAATAGTTCGATACGTAAATTGCCCATACCAAAAGTATTGTCTTCCATATATCGTGAAAGAGGTTTCAAAGGGTAACTATTATTGCATTTTTTCTTTTTATTTAATTTTACTGGAATTTAATGGATTTTGTTGATTTCAGTTTATTTGCTGGTTTTGTACCTCGTGTTATGTGGATTACCTTGGGTGGTGCATTTTTCTTTGGTTTTTATGATTTAACCTGCCGTTTATTGGGTGCAGAGAGTAATACAGCAACCAATGCTTAGTTTTTTGTTTTGTTATAGTTTTTAAAATAATTGAATAAATATATTTAATAAATTTTCACTAAATATTACTTTAAAATTGAATATAATTGTTCGTTATTTGTTGCAGTTGCTTGATATTTTTTGGGAAATGTTCGTTTGGGTGCAGTAAAAGATATATTTGTGTTGACTAGCAGCTGTAGTTTTCTTCATTTAATACTGTTTTTTTTTTTTTTGTAAATAATACTGGAATAAGGCATATTATTAAGTAAATAGATCGGAAGTTCTGTTGAGATGTGAAGTACTTAAATAATTTTCATAACGCTGAAAAAGAAATTAAAAAGAAAATTAAAAAAAAACTTCTGAAAGTTTAGTAAAGACTTCAAGAAAGTATGGTAGAAATCATGGCCGACCATACGATACACTACGTTAAGCACAAATTTAAAGTTTATATGAAAACTGAATTTACCATTACAAAAAATAATAACCAGTCTTTGAGAAAATAGGGCTGGGTATCAAAATTTATATATTCTGGTATTATTAAGGCTTGATAAAACTTATGAGTCAATAACAACTATTTTCGTAGTATTCGTACTTTAACATTTGACCGATATTTTAATATAAAGGTCAAAAGATTTTTCATAATGACTCTGATCTGTTACGAATATTTTAAGATGGATGCCGGACTCATAATACAGCTAAAGGGTCTAAGTGCAGGGTATTAATAAACAAAATTAACTTACATTATTTATTTGTAATTTTCCTCTAAGTAAACTTTTTGTGGGATTATCTTCATTGTCTACCTCATCTTCCTCTTCCTCCACAGCGTCGGGATCTTGTTCCAAAGGAGAATCATATTCGTTATCTTCATATAGGAAACGTCTACCCTGACGCTTCTTACAGTACAAATGCACCAAACGTCTTCTATGGCTGGCCATCAGATACACCTAAAATAGCGAAATTATTATTAACTTTTTATTATAAACTATATAGGTATTTTATCTTTCTTACCAATAAAGCTAATATAACAATGCCCAGGAGGACACCCAGTGGTATTAGTATATAAAAACTGCCCTCTTCAGGTATTTCTATTGTTGGCAATGTTGTATTTTCCGGAAAGACTGGAACAATTTGTGTTGTTTTATCATGACTGGGTACTGTTGTTTCTATTAAACCCATTTTTAATTAATATTTTATATATTTTCGTTAAATTTTAACTAATTTTTATGTTTTGCCAATTGTTTACATTGATTTTTTTCTATTCTTGTTCTTTTTCTTCAAAAAAAAAACTGTAAACAAGGCGAAGTTAAACAATTCGCCTTAAACATGTGAGAGATTTAACGGCTCTGTTATTACCTTTATTTTCATTAACATTCTCTGTTATAAAAGAGTAAACAATGTTAAGCAAGATAAATAAGAAAAATCTGGCAACTTTACACACAGAAATCTAAATAATTAAAAAATTTAGAAGTGTTTGACATCTTTGACAAAAATTTATATTTTTTGTAAAAAATACCGAATAAAACTTAAAAAATTAAGATTTTAATAAAAATTCTTCATTTCTATTATATAACTCAAATAAATTCCATGAATTTCCAAACAAAATGTCTGCAACCGCTTTTGTGATGCCTAATGACTTGTCTGATTTGTGTCGCGTGTGTTTGCAATTGCCAGAGGAGTCCCAATATTTGGATTTGACCACCATTTATGATGAAGATGATAATTTAACTTATGGTGAATGTTTTACGATTTGTACACAAATAGATTTAAGTGCCGGCGAAGGAGTACCTCATCATTTGTGCAAATCATGTGGTTTGGAACTGCAAATGTCCTATGATTTTCATAAGAAAATTGAAGAATCCAAAAAGGTGATAGAACAATGTCAAAAACAAATAGAAGAACAAAAAAGAAATTCCAACAGAGAAGAGTCACAAGGACTACATTCAAATGCTAGTGGAGAAAGGCGGGAGGTGGTTCAGCTTCTAAATGAAAAATATGTCATAAGTGATGACGAGGAGGACGCTGAAGAGTTGGCAGGATCTTCTCAGGAAATTCAGGTTGTAAACATAATGCAATCAGAATTCGATACACCAGCCCAGGAGGTAGACGAGACTGATGATATGGATATTATAAATAAAATTTGTAATATAGAGGATAATACACCGCAGGAAATATTGCCGGATAATGATAGGGACACAACTATGGAGCATATGGATGCGCATGATGTGGCCGATGAAGCTGAAGAAATGGATGACTATCAAAATTTGGAAACCTTAGAGGATGAAGGTAAGTGAATATTATAATTTTATATATATAGATATAAGGCAAAAAGTGCTGTCAGAAACTTGCCTCTTATTACTAAACCGGCACAGAATTTAACAAATATTTCTATATGAAAATAAAACACATTTAAATTGAGAATATTTATGGGCCAAAATATTTCAGAAGATTTCAAATTAATAGTAGTTATGATTTTGCCAACTTGTTATCGTATTTCTCGTTTGCAATATAATTTAGTTGTTTGTATGGAAATTCGAAAAAATTATAAACAAAGGTAAACTTCCACTTTAGACAAAAAAAAAAAAAAAAATAAAAAATTATCCGATATGTAATGAAAATCGAGCGATTTGAAATCGAATCGATTTCAGTTCTAGTTCAGTTCTTGTTCAGTTCTAGTTCAGTTCTAGTTTAGTACTAGTTCAATTCTAGTTCAGTTCTAGTTTAGTTCTAGTTCAGTTCTAGTTCAGTTCTGGTTCAGTTCTAGATCAGTTCTAGTTCAGTTCTATTTCAGTTCTAGTTCAATTCTAGTTCAGTTCTAGTTCAGTTCTAGTTCAGTTCTAGTTCAGTTCTAGTTCAGTTCTAGTTCAGTTCTAGTTCAGTTCTAGTTCAGTTCTAGTTCAGTTCTAGTTCAGTTCTAGTTCAGTTCTAGTTCAGTTCTAGTTCAGTTCTAGTTCAGTTCTAGTTCAGTTCTAGTTCAGTTCTAGTTCAGTTCTAGTTCAGTTCTAGTTCAGTTCTAGTTCAGTTCTAGTTCAGTACTAGTTCAAATCTAGTTCAGTTCTAGTTCAATTCTAGTTCAGTTCTAGTTCAGTTCTAGTTCAGTTCTAGTTCAGTTCTAGTTCAGTTCTAGTTCAGTTCTAGTTCAGTTCTAGTTCAGTTCTAGTTCAGATCTAGTTCAGTTCTAGTTCAGTTCTAGTTCAGTTCTACTTCAGTTCTAGTTCAGTTCTAGATCAGTTCTAGTTCAGTTATAGTTCAGTTCTAGTTCAGTTCTAGTTCAGTTCTAGTTCAATTCTAGTTTAGTTCTAGTTCAGTTCTAGTTCAGTTCTAGTTCAGTTCTAGTTCAGTTCTAGTTCAGTTCTAGTTCAGTTCTAGTTCAGTTCTAGTTCAGTTCTAGTTCAGTTCTAGTTCAGTTCTAGTTCAGTTCTAGTTCAGTTCTAGTTCAGTTCTAGTTCAGTTCTAGTTCAGTTCTAGTTCAGTTCTAGTTCAGTTCTAGTTCAGTTCTAGTTCAGTTCTAGTTCAGTTCTAGTTCAGTTCTAGTTCAGTTCTAGTTCAGTTCTAGTTCAGTTCTAGTCAGTTCTAGTTCAGTTCTAGTTCAGTTCTAGTTCAGTTCTAGTTCAGTTCTAGTTCAGTTCTAGTTCAGTTCTAGTTCAGTTCTAGTTCAGTTCTAGTTCAGTTCTAGTTCAGTTCTAGTTCAGTTTCTAGTTCAGTTCTAGTTCAGTTCTAGTTCAGTTCTAGTTCAGTTCTAGTTCAGTTCTAGTTCAGTTCTAGTTCAGTTCAGTTCTAGTTCAGTTCTAGTTCAGTTCTAGTTCAGTTCAGTTCAGTTCTAGTTCAGTTCTAGTTCAGTTCTAGTTCAGTTCTAGTCAGTTCTAGTTCAGTTCTAGTTCAGTTCAGGTTCAGTTCTAGTTCAGTTTTAGTTCAGTTCTACTTCAGTTCTAGTTCAGTTCTAGTACAGTTTAAGTTCTGTTCTAGTACATTTCAAGGTTCAGTCATAGTTCAACATTATTTTTCTACCCTGTATCACAATAAAAAATGTGATTTTTACGCTAAGCTGTTCAAGATTAATTAAAAAATGAATTTAAATTAACTTTAATTAATTAAATTGCTGTTTTCAATTTGGAGGGATATGAATTTCTAATATTTAATATGTTTTATTAAATTACGGATAATTTGTTCGTATTTATTTGTGAAAAATTCAAGTTGTGCATGTGAATAAATTTGCAATTATGTTAGTTAAGTGTCAATCAAGAAATAAATAAAATATTTGTAATGTTTCTGCTTCTGTATTTAAACCATTTCATTAAAATAGAAAAGTCAAATAAAAATTTTGAGTTCCCAGAGAACTAATTCAAATATTCAAAGAGTTTTTAAACAATAATGTTCTAACTCGTTATTTAATTATATCCAACTAATAGAAATATAAATAATTACTACTAAATTTTTCTATCTTAAAATATACAGAAACGGAAACACTACAAATAAAATGTGGTGAAAACACTATACCCATACAAGTAACAAAATACAAAACTTTTGAATGTGGCATTAATGAAGAATATGTGGAATATGCTGAAGAAGAGGAAAATGAGGAGGATGAGGGAGTAGCAGAGTCAGAGCAAGATAAAATATTAAATGAAGAATATGCACAAGAACCAAATGACGAAGATATAGCGGAACATTTAAGATGGCAAGATAATGTTGTGGCGGTAGCCAGTAAAGAACATTTACCCATTGAAATTGAGGATGATGATGAACAGGAGGAGGGAGATGAAGAACATGAGGCAATATATGAAACAAACGAAAGTCACATAATAATAGAAGATAGTTCACAGGATGAAAATAAAACAAATAAAACAGTCAATGACAACGATGGTAATAATAATAATAATAATCCAACACGTAAACGTCATGTAGGCTCCTATAGCTGTGACTATTGTCATCGTGTCTTTCCTAACTATTCACGCATGAAAACTCATCGTCGTTGTCATGAAAAAGATCGTCCTAAATTCTCTTGTTCCCAATGTGGTCGGATGTATGCCACCAAACAAGCCCGAGATTGTCATGTGCAAACTGCTCATGATAAATCCGGTTTTACCTGTAGCATTTGTAATAAAGTTTTTGCCATACGCAAAAGTCTAGAGATACATGTACGCTATCATACGGGTGATTTTCCACATGCCTGCAATTTATGTGATAAAAAGTTTGCACAAGTCTGCCATTTGAATACCCACATTAATGTTAAACACAATAAAATACGTTTTTCCTGTGATTATCCGGGTTGTGGAAAGTTTTTTACTTCCTCTACATCATTGCGTAATCATGAATATACTCATGGCATAATGCCATTCGAATGTGAATATTGTCAGCAGGGTTATCCGGCTAAAGCGAAGTAAGTTTTTTGATTTGTTTAATAAAGTTAAATTAACTTAATTTATTGTTTGATTTTCCTCTACAGATTAAGAATACATATACAACGTAAGCATGGCATGGACCTTAGTAAAGATCAATTGGAAAATATGCGTAAATTTCATGTTATGCGTTCAAAAGTTAATTTGGTGCAATTTGTGGATTCGTAGAAAGTATAATTTTATATTTTATTTTAGCTTCTTTTTTGTAGTATAATTAAAAAAAATATATTTAAAACACAATTTCTTTGTTTTCTCTATAGAAACATTTTTCAAATCTTAAATAAAAATGTAAATAGTAAATCTATTTGTAATACAGTCTTATCACCATTTTTTAACTTTCCTTAGTATGATTTGATAGTGAGAATGTTCGATTCTATATGATTGATTCACTCTTGGTAATTCTGGTTCTAGTTCAGTTCTAGTTTCGTTCTAGTACAGTTCCAGTTCACTTCTAATTCAGTTCTAGTTCAGTTCTAGTTCAGTTCTAGTTCATTTCTAGTTCAGTTCTGGTTCAATTCTAGTTCAGTTCTGGTTCAGTTCTAGTTCAGTTCTAGTTCAGTTCTAGTTCAGTTCTGGTTCAGTTCTAGTTCAGTTCTAGTTCAGTTCTAGTTCAGTTCTAGTTCAGTTCTAGTTCAGTTCTAGTTCAGTTCTAGTTTAGTTCTATTTCAGTTCTACTTCAGTTCTAATTCAGTTCTAATTCAGTTCTAGTTCAGTTCTAGTTAAGTTCTAGTTCAGTTCTAGTTCAGTTCTAGTTCAGTTCTAGTTAAGTTCTAGTTCAGTTCTAGTTCAGTTCTAGTTCAGTTCTAGTTCAGTTCTAGTTCAGTTCTAGTTCAGTTCTAGTTCAGTTCTAGTTCAGTTCTAGTTCAGTTCTAGTTCAGTTCTAGTTCAGTTCTAGTTCAGTTCTAGTTCAGTTCTAGTTCAGTTCTAGTTCAGTCTAGTTCAGTTCTAGTTCAGTTCTAGTTCAGTTCTAGTTCAGTTCTAGTTCAGTTCTAGTTCAGTTCTAGTTCAGTTCTAGTTCAGTTCTAGTTCAGTTCTAGTTCAGTTCTAGTTCTAGTTCAGTTCTAGTTCTAGTTCAGTTCTAGTTCAGTTCTAGTTCAGTTCTAGTTCAATTCTAGTTCAGTTCTAGTTCAGTTCTAGTTCAGTTCTAGTTCAGTTCAGTTCTAGTTCAGTTCTAGTTCAGTTCTAGTTCAGTTCTAGTTCAGTTCTAGTTCAGTTCTAGTTCAGTTCTAGTTCAGTTCTAGTTCAGTTCTAGTTCAATTCTAGTTCAGTTCTAGTTCAGTTCTAGTTCAGCTCTAGTTCAGTTCTAGTTCAGTTCTAGTTCAGTTCTAGTTCAGTTCTAGTTCAGTTCTAGTTCAATTCTAGTTCAGTTCTAGTTCAGTTCTAGTTCAGTTCTAGTTCAGTTCTAGTTCAGTTCTAGTTCAGTTCAGTTCTAGTTCAGTTCTAGTTCAGTCTAGTTCTAGTCAGTTATAGTTCAGTTCTAGTTCAGTTCTAGTTCAGTTCTAGTTCAGTTCTAGTTCAATTCTAGTTCAGTTCTAGTTCAGTTCTAGTTCAGCTCTAGTTCAGTTCTAGTTCAGTTCTAGTTCAGTTCTAGTTCAATTCTAGTTCAGTTCTAGTTCAGTTCTAGTTCAGTTCTAGTTCAATTCTAGTTCAGTTCTAGTTCAGTTCTAGTTCAGCTCTAGTTCAGTTCTAGTTCAGTTCTAGTTCAGTTCTAGTTCAGCTCTAGTTCAGTTCTAGTTCAGTTCTAGTTCAGTTCTAGTTCAGTTCTAGTTTAGTTCTAGTTCAGTTCTAGTTCAGTTCTAGTTCAGTTCTAGTTCAGTTCTAGTTCAGTTCTAGTTCAGTTCTAGTTCAGTTCTAGTTCAGTTCTAGATCAGTTCTAGTTCATTTTTAGATCAGTTCCATTTCAGTTCTAGTTCTATTTCAGTTCTAGTGTAGTTCTAGTTCTGTTGCAGTTTATTCTATTTAGTTCTATTTCAAATTTTTTCTTATCAATTAACTGTAAAGTACTATTACAAATGGACTACAAATAAGAAATTGAATTGATTTAAAAAACGCCCTACGTATAAATAAAATGTTAACGTTTATTTAAATATGTCTCTCATAAAATTACTATACGACTCATCACTTAACGATAATATCCACAACCTATTCATTAAACTGAATGTGCAAACAAATCTATTTTAGACCTTCCATCTTTTATGTTTAAAGAGGAACGTTTAAATGATGACATCGAGCCCCCTGAGGAAGAAATTATAATGAACACCACAATAACACCTTGTATACCAGCTGGTATTAGATTACCTTTACCTGCAGGGCCTCCATTTATATGTGAATTTTGTGGTCATAGTTGCAAAACGAAAGCCCTATTGGCCTCACATCGTCATAGAAAACATCGTCATAAAGAGTCTGCCTATCAATGTGATAAATGTGATCAACAATTTAGTTCCAAAGATGTCTATGACAAACATTTAAAACGTGTATCTTGTCACAAATATCCTGAATTTCAATGTGAATATTGTTCGAAGAAAATTATAGGATCAGCAAATTATAAAATTCATTTAAGATTTCACCAAAAAATCTATCCCTTTGAGTGTGATCAATGTGACAAAGGTTTTATGTTGGCCATACATTTAAAGGTGCACAAACAAACGAAACATGAAAATAAACGTTACGTATGTGAGGAGGCAAATTGTGGAAAATTTTTCAAATCACAACAATCTTTAAAAAATCATATGTATGTGCATTTGGGCTCTTTGCCGTATTCATGTGAATATTGTGGAAAAATGTTTACGAATAGAGGAAGGTGAGTTGAAACATTTGCAATTCTTTACAATTGTTTCTTATGTTTATTTTCTATTTGCAGTTTACGTTGGCATTTAAAAACTTGTCATGGTAGGGTAGTTACTGGGCAGGATCTGGAACGTATGCTAGTCTCTGAAGAAATATCAATTAAAGCAGAGGTTCAATCAGTCGAATTTAGTGAAGAGGAAGATGTTTAATAAAATATAAATAAATTCCTTTAAAAGTTTTTTCTGTTTGCGGGATTTTATTTTCTTAAATTTTATGTTCAGTTCATCTTTAGTTTTAGTTTATTTCTTGTTCAGTTCTAGTTCAGTTCTAGTTCAGTTCTAGTTCAGTTCTAGTTCAGTTCTAGTTCAGTTCTAGTTTAGTTCTAGTTCAGTTCTAGTTCAGTTCTAGTTTAGTTCTAGTTCAGTTCTAGTTCAGTTCTAGTTCAGTTCTAGTTCAGTTCTAGTTCAGTTCTAGTTCAGTTCTAGTTCAGTTCTAGTTCAAGTTCAGTTCAAGTTCAGTTCTAGTTCAGTCCTAGTTCAGTTCTAGTTCAGTTCTAGTTCAGTTCTAGTTCAGTTCTAGTTCAGTTCTAGTTCAGTTCTAGTTCAGTTCTAGTTCAGTTCTAGTTTAGTTTCAGTTCTAGTTCAGTTCTAGTTCAGTTCTTGTTCAGTTCTATTTCAGTTCTAGTTCAGTTCTAGTTCAGTTCTAGTTAAGTTTTAGTTCAGTTCTAGTTCAGTTCTAGTTCAGTTCTAGTTCAGTTCTAGTTCAGTTCTAGTTCAGTTCTAGTTCAGTTCTAGTTCAGTTCTAGTTCAGTTCTAGTTCAGTTCTAGTTCAGTTCTAGTTCAGTTCTAGTTCAGTTCTAGTTCAGTTCTAGTTCAGTTCTAGTTCAGTTCTAGTTCAGTTGTAGTTCAGTTCTAGTTCAGTACTATTTCAGTTCTAGTTCAGTTCCAGTTCAGTTCTAGTTCAGTTCTAGTTCAGTTCTAGTTCAGTTCTAGTTCAGTTGTAGTTCAGTTGTAGTTCAGTTCTAGTTCAGTTCTAGTTCAGTTCTAGTTCAGTTCTAGTTCAGTTCTAGTTCAGTTCTAGTTCAGTTCTAGTTCAGTTCTAGTTCAGTTGTAGTTCAGTTCTAGTTCAGTACTATTTCAGTTCTAGTTCAGTTCCAGTTCAGTTCTAGTTCAGTTCTAGTTCAGTTCTAGTTCAGTTCTAGTTCAGTTCTAGTTCAGTTCTAGTTCAGTTCTAGTTCAGTTCTAGTTCAGTTCTAGTTCAGTTCTAGTTCAGTTCTAGTTCAGTTCTAGTTCAGTTCTAGTTCTAGTTCAGTTCTAGTTCAGTTCTAGTTCAGTTGTAGTTCAGTTCTAGTTCAGTTCTAGTTCAGTTCTAGTTCAGTTCTAGTTCTAGTTCAGTTCTAGTTCAGTTGTAGTTCAGTTCTAGTTCAGTTCTAGTTCAGTTGTAGTTCAGTTCTAGTTCAGTTCTAGTTCAGTTCTAGTTCAGTTCTAGTTCAGTTCTAGTTCAGTTCTAGTTCAGTTCAGTTCTAGTTCAGTTCTAGTTCAGTTCTAGTTCAGTTCTAGTTCAGTTCTATTTCAGTTCTAGTTCAGTTCTAGTTCAGTTCTAGTTAAGTTTAGTTCAGTTCTAGTTCAGTTCTAGTTCAGTTCTAGTTCAGTTCTAGTTCAGTTCAGTTCTAGTTCAGTTCTAGTTCAGTTCTAGTTCAGTTCTAGTTCAGTTCTAGTTCAGTTCTAGTTCAGTTCTAGTTCAGTTCTAGTTCAGTTCTAGTTCAGTTCTAGTTCAGTTCTAGTTCAGTACTATTTCAGTTCTAGTTCAGTTCCAGTTCAGTTCTAGTTCAGTTCTAGTTCAGTTCTAGTTCAGTTCTAGTTCAGTTCTAGTTCAGTTCTAGTTCAGTTCTAGTTCAGTGTAGTTCAGTTCTAGTTCAGTTCTATTTCAGTTCTATTTCAGTTCTATTTCAGTTCTAGTTCAGTTCTAGTTCAGTTCTAGTTCAGTTCTAGTTCAGTTCTAGTTCAGTTCTAGTTCAGTTCTAGTTCAGTTCTAGTTCAGTTCTAGTTCAGTTCTAGTTCAGTTCTAGTTCAATTCTAGTTCAGTTCTAGTTCAGTTCTAGTCCTGTTATAGTTTAGTACTAGTCAGTTCTAGTTCAGTTCTAGTTCAGTTCTATTGCAGTTCTAGTTCAGTTCTAGTTCAGTTCTAGTTCAGTTCTAGTTCAGTTCTAGTTCAGTTCTAGTTCAGTTCTAGTTCAGTTCTAGTTCAGTTCTAGTTCAGTTCTAGTTCAGTTCTAGTTCAGTTCTAGTTCAGTTCTAGTTCAGTTCTAGTTCAGTTCTAGTTCAGTTCTAGTTCAGTTCTAGTTCAGTTCTAGTTCAGTTCTAGTTCAGTTCTAGTTCTAGTTCAGTTCTAGTTCAGTTCTAGTTCTAGTTCAATTCTAGTTCAATTCTAGTTCAGTTCTAGTTCAGTTCTAGTTCAGTTCTAGTTCAGTTCTAGTTCAGTTCTAGTTCAGTTCTAGTTCAGTTCTAGTTCAGTTCTAGTTCAATTCTAATTCAGTCCTAGTTCAGTTCTAATTCAGTTCTAGTTCATTTCTAGTTCAGTTCTAGTTCAGTTTAAGTTCAGTTCTAGTTCAGTTTTAGATTGTTTTGCGCTATTACCCCCAAAAATCGATATGTGATTGAAAACTTAAAAGACCATTTATTTAGAAACTGGAAAAGATAGTGCCAAGGAAGCGATCATCTGTGATCACTTGTATTTCCCAACAAAAGACATCGATCTTTTAATGAAAATAAAAAGTCCCTTTTTACTATTTATGGGACTAGTGCATATTGATACATTTGGTCGTGTAAAACCGTTACCCTTTCAGAAAAAGATCATTTTTTACTATTCAAATAACTAGTAAAACAAAACATTACTAACGAAAAAGTGCATCTAAAAGTTTGTGAATAATTGTTACGAAAATCAGAAAATAATGTATATCATAATAAAATATAATCATATAGAAACATTGTTAGATTCTGTAAATATCTAGACCTATGAACGTACAAATGCTTTGCATAAACAAATACCGTTCTAACAACTTTTAAATGCATATTTTTCTAGAAAAAGAACAAAAGTTAAAACTAATTTAAAAATAAAAACTGAAACTGCAAATGAAGACCAACAGACTATGCTACAAGAAGAGATATTTAAAGTACCAACAGAAACATATTCCTTAAAAAATGAATTAAATAAAGAAATTAAAACTGAAATTTCAATGGAAAATAATGATAATCAGGATCCCTTAAGGGGCGAACACTATATCATTAGCCATGTTGAAGAGGATAATACAACAGCCGAAGTTATTAAAATTGAAAATGAGACATTTAGTGAATATATTGTAGCAAGTCCAGCCACCATAATACCCGAAGTTGTTGATCCACCTCTAGCTACTCAACAGCAACTCTATGGGCGAAGTCAACCTATAGGATCACCATTTGTATGTGAATTCTGTGGTCACATTATGCCAACCAAGAATGCCTTATACAAACATCGTCTTCGGAAACACAATGTAAAGGGCTTTTCAGGCCAAGACAAACCCTTTAATTGTCATTTGTGTTCTAAAGAATTTGTTACCATGTCTTCGCTGAGACTCCACATAAATATGAGTCATTTAAAAAAGGGTTTTGAATGTGAGCATTGCGGTTATAATTTACCCACCATGAATGCTGTCTATCAACATCGTTTACGGAAACATCGTGATCCCAAGAAACAAAAAAAACTGTTGCGTTACAAATGTACTCAATGTTCAGAGTTATTCGAAACGGCTGAGGGTTTAAGTTTACACAAGACGAAGAAACATGCAAAGAAACGTACTGCAGCAACAGAAACAAATGAGTGTTTTGAATGTGAATATTGTGGTTATAAATTGCCCACGAAAAATGCTTTTTATCAACATCGTCTAAGGAAGCACAAACGCCATAAAAGGATACTGAAAATTCCTTGTGCTGAATATACTGTAACAACGCATTGCCTTCCAATGAAAGGTTAGTATTCTGTTAACGTTACGAAAGAGAAAAATTTTTAATTTTTACGTTTTTTTGCAGTTTACAAACTGGAATCTGCTGGAATACCAGGAGTTGCTGCCTGTAAACAATGGGGATAGGCTAGAGATAATGTTAATATTAGTAATAGGTAAATGAATGAAAGAAAATAATGTAGGTGAAATAAACTGCGGGAAAACGGAGGGGAGCGGAGAAGGAAAGAGGAAGACGAAGAGGGGAAAAGGCGGACGCTAGAAGAGAGAGAAGCAGAACAACGATAAGGGGGGCCCAGGGAAGCGGGGGGGGGGAAAAAAAAGCGAGCGAGCGAGAGCGAGCGAGCGAGCGAGCGAGCGAGCGAGCGAGCGAGCGAGCGAGCGAGAGAGCGAGCGAGCAGCAGCGAGCGAGCGGAGCGAGCAGCGAGCGAGCGAGCGAGCGAGCGAGCGAGCGAGCGAGCGAGCGAGCGAGAGAGCGAGCGAGCGAGCGAGCGAGCGAGCGAGCGAGCGAGCGAGCCAGGAAGAGCGAGCGAGCGAGCGAGCGAGCGAGCGAGCGAGCGAGCGAGCGAGCGAGCGAGAGCGAGCGAGCGAGCGAGCGAGCAGCGAGCGAGCGAGCGAGCGAGCGAGCGAGCGAGCGAGCGAGCGAGCGAGCGAGCGAGCGAGCGAGCGAGCGAGCGAGCGAGCGAGCGAGCGAGCGAGCGAGCGAGCGAGCGAGCGAGCGAGCGAGCGAGCGAGCGAGCGAGCGAGCGAGCGAGCGAGCGAGCGAGCGAGCGAGCGAGCGAGCGAGCGAGCGAGCGAGCGAGCGAGCGAGCGAGCGAGCGAGCGAGCGAGCTAGCGAGCGAGCGAGCGAGCGAGCGAGCGAGCGAGCGAGCGAGCGAGCGAGCGAGCGAGCGAGC